GCCAACTTAAGCAATAAACAAATTTGTTCATAAATTTGTAAAAGGTAATTGTAGCCTCACCTAGTCATTCAAGTGGGATACAGGACATAAATTAATTTACTTAAAGGGGGAATTGTTTTAACTTTGGTGGAAATGGACGTATTTGTAACCTTTCTGAACCCACTGACAGTTGAGAATGTCTTAGAATAATTGCTCCGGGAGGTTCTTTCTTGATTTTTGGAAACATCCCTAGAGAACTGTGGCTGCAGGCAAGTCATCCACTTTTGTATTTAAATAGTCAAATATCTCATTTTCTCAAATTTAAATTCAGTATGCTGTTTGAGATAGACGATAAGATCTTTTTATTGTATTTTTAATGCAGTGCTAAATCCAAGGCTAAGTAGAGCTTTTTGTTCCTAGCAATCCGATACTGTGACAGATGCCAACTTATAAAACCAGACCGTTGCCATCACTGTTCCGTCTGTGACAAGTAAGAGCACCTTTTACTGCGTTTCTCACTGTTGTCTGGAGTACCTCCTTCTTCTTAGGTACATCCTCGGGCATCACTTGCGTTCAGAAGAGGATGGCTTGGGGTCACGGTCAGCAGTCTCTTTCCCCCTAGATTCAGGCTGATGCAAAGTGCACCTTTATTAGCACTTCCAACTTAACTGCTTCCATGTAGCAAATGCTCCTTGTAGGCCTGCTTTCCGTGTGTACAAAGGTCACCTAATTGACTTCATGATAGATGTAGTGGGTGTTTCTTAGACTACAAGGGCAGCACTACTCAGCTTATGGGTTAAGATTAAAGGACAAGTTTTGTCTAAATTTTTTTGCAAATAGGTCGATGTTTTGCACTTTCTTTAGTGTGTCAGACATGGACACTTATGTTATTGTGGTTGCTTGTTTTTAGAAAATGGGTTAATTTCCCTTTTTAAAAATGTCCCTTTTCAGGGTTAGCGTTAGGGTTAATGTTAGGGCTGGGGTTAAGGTTAAGGTTAGGATTTTTTTTTTTTATTTCCCTTTTAAAACATGTGTATTTTAAATGTAAGATGCAATTATTTGGCAATAATTAAAATTGGTTATATATAGTGTTTATATTAAAGGAAGGCTTTTACTGCTGCTCAGTTTTTAGGTAAGCTAATGCTTTCGTTGCTACAAGACTTTTGGAATAGCTTGGCGTATAAATAGTTTTCACCTAATATAATGAAAATTGTGAGAGGTACTGGATTTGTTTTATTTTTCTTTTTAGATGTATTTTAAAGATGGATCATCATTGCCCATGGTGAGTACAGCTCTATATTGAAACAAGCTATTTATTCTTATAGATTTTTTAAACCATTTTGTTGACATAATAATTCCCATATCATATAATTCTATTGTTGAATATATTAAAATGAACTGTGCAATCATTACCACAATCAATTTTAGAACCTTTTTTTTCATTTTTGCACTCATTATTGATCCCTCATTTACCCCCAGCCACCCCTGCCATATCTCTAAGAAATGCTTAATCTATTTAAAGTCCCTATACAGTGTCCTATCCTGAGTTTCATATAAAGAAAAATTTAACACATCCCTCCCCCCAAAAAACAAACCCAGCAATAATAACAAAGTAAAACACAGGAAAAACTTCAAACCAAAAGAAAGCCAAAAATAATAAAAGCTAGAACAAATTAAAAAATGGGTCAAAAGGGAAAGCAAATGGTGAGATGTTAAAATTTAACCTAACTCTAACTGCACTGATTCACTCTCTGACGCCCTCTGACCGAGGGCAGGGCTATTCCAATCCCTCGTCAGTGACCCATGGGCAGTGGATGGAGGCTTAAGACCTGGGAGGACACTACAAATGGATTGGGGCTTTCACTGGCCTCCACGTTATTGTTGTCGGTGTTGTTAGGTGGCATCGAGCTGGCTCTGATCCATAACGACCCCGTGCACAACAGAATGAAATACAGCACGGTCCAGTGCCACCCTCACCATTGTTCCTGTGCCTGAGCCCAGTGACGGAACCACGGGGTTAATCCATCTCATTGCGGCTCTTCCTCTTTCTCACTGCTCCTCCACGTTACCAAACATATCCTTCTCCAGGGACTGGTTTCTCCGGACAATATGTCCAAAGTCTGTAAGATAAAGTCTTAGGATCCTTGCCTCTAAGGAGCACTCTGGCCTTCCTTTTGCCAATACAGGTCAGTTTGTCCTTTTAGCAAGTAATGGCATTTTCAACATTCTTCTCCAGCACCACAATCGAAATACATCAATTCTTCTACGGTCTAACTTGTTCAGTGTCCAGCTTTCACATGCTTGTGACGGAATGGAGAACACCCGGGCTTGGGTTAGGTGCACCGTAGTCCTCAGAGGAACAGCCTTATGCTTCAATACTCTAAAGGGTCTGGGGCAGCAGATTGACCCAGCGCAATATGTCCTTTGAGGTCTTAACTACTGCCTCCGTGAGCATTGATAGTGGATTCCAGTAAGACAACATCCTTGACAACTTCAACCTTTTCTCCATTTTTAATGATATTACCTACTGTTCCAGTTGTGAGGATTTTGGTCTTCTTACGTTAAGTTGTAATCCATACTGGAGGCTACAATCCTTGATTTTCATCAGCAAGCGCTTCAATTCGTCCTAAATTTCAGCAAGCAAGGTGTATCGTCTACAACGTAACGCAGGTTGGTTATAAGCCTTCCTCCAATTCCAATGGCACACTCTTGTTCATATAATCCAGCTTCTCTTTCATTTGCTCAGCACATAGATTGAACAAGTATGGTGAGAGGATACAACCCTGATGCACTCCTTTCCTGATGTTAAGCCATACAACACTCCACAGGTTCTAATCACACAACTAACTGCTTCTTGATCCACGTACAAGTTCTGAGTGAGCACAGTGAAGTGTTCTAGATTCTCATCCTCCTCAGGGTTGTTATGGTCCACACAGTTGAATGCCTTTGCATAGTCAATGAAAGACAAGCATACATCTTTCTGGTATTCTCTGCTTTGAGCCACGATCCATCTGACATTAGCAGTGATAGCCCTTGTTCCACATATTCTTCTGAATCTGGCCTGAGCTTCTGACAGTTCCCTCTCAATCGTTGTTAGATGATCTTCAGCCACATTTTACTTGTATGTGATATCCATGATACTGTTCTATAATCTGAGCATTCTGTTGATTCATTTTTATTTGGAATCAGTACAAATATGGCTGTCTTCCAGTCAGTTGGCCAGGTAGCTATCATCCAAATTTCCTGGCATAGACATGTGAGTGCTTCCAGTGCTTCTTCAGCCTTCTGAAATATTTCAATTGGTATTCCATCAATTTCTGGAGCCTTAGCTTTCTGCAAACCTTCTGCTCAGAATCTAAGCTCTAATATTATTTCCTCCTCTGATCTTGTATTTTATTGTTTTTAATCCTGAGGTCACACAGGCTGATGTGTTTCTTCCGCGTGGATTCAGCTAACCCCTCACTTAGATGGCTGCTTGTTTTAAAACAAGTTTGTAACACCCCCAACACATTTCTTTCTGATAGCAGGATACCATCTGATTTCTTCACAACACTTTGCTACAGCATCCATCATATCTTCAGTGATCTGGTCAAGAGTGTAAATATCAGCAGCACCACATCCTAAGAATTGATCGTTTTTAGGTTAAGGCTTGTGGTTGTGAGCTCAAAATCCATTTATATATCTAAGATTTATATATATATATGTATCACTGTTTCCACTTTCGTGGCAACATTATCAGCTTTGTGAGAGATAATATAAGTAACCTCTACAGAGCATTTGGTACTGAAAATAGCCAATGGCATAGGGTTTAAAATACTATTGTGATAAAGAGACTATTCACATATGGGAAAGCTTTTTAAGAGTACAATACATGGGATGTCCAATTACACATATTGAAAAATTTAAGTGACTGAATCTTGTTTGAAAAATCAATGAGGGTTAGGCACAAGTCACAAAGTTCAATAACACTCATTCACTACAGCAGAACTCTGTCTCCAGAATAAAGACAGGTCTTATTTAAAAGGCTAAGAAAATAAAATTTAAAAATAAGAAAATATGGAACCGGCACATGTATGGTCGTCTTAAGTTGCCTAAAGTGCTTATAGGTTTTAATAAATTGAATCAGCTATGTGCTTTTAAGTGTTTTTATACAATAGAATATTGCCTTGAGTGCCCTAGCTAATGCTTTCAGGATAATAACATAAATATGAGTTTTCCATGTTTGCGCAGACAGATTTTTTTGATACGGATATCCATGAGCACAGAGATTCTATAATACTTCCCAGGATTGTTCACAAATATGTGTGAACATTGTACACAATAGTTCAATTGGCGTTTCTAATGAAGAAGTGTATCATCTTTAACAATATTTTTAAAGTGACAGTAGAGGAGAATAGCAGAAACAGAAATACAGAGCTATGTGTATTGAAGCAAGCTTCACTTAGTATTCATTCATGTTTCATAATATGTATCCTTATGTATAATCTGAAATTAGTAACTCAATGCAGGTTTGCTTTAAAGTCGTAATTAACCAATAGCAGCCCTGGTGGCACAACGGTGAAGATCTTTTCATTCCGTTTTCCCACAACCTTTTTTAAACGCCCCCTTACATTCTGGAAGAGTTTCCATTTAATGCACAAAGGACTTCCTTGTTTTGTTTCACAGCCATTATATGAATGTAACAGTCACTTAATAAAGGACCTTTAGGAAGTTCCCAGACTATGAAAAAGTCTTTTTATACAGGCCTAGTATAGTTTTGAAATTCCCCGTCAAAGCGAGGCATTTGAGAAACTAGATAAACCGTGTCTCGCCTCCGATATTCCGCATCACTAACAGTGGTCGATCAGGGGAACTAAGGGGGTTAGCCTCACACTGGTGCCTTAGGTTACAGGGAGAATCCGTAGTATTTGTTTCAATGGGTGTTTCATCAGTGAAGCATTTTAATTTTGAGTATAACATTTTCATTTCATAATAAACTCTGTTAATACTACACTTTGACACCCTTACCAAAGAGAAGTTAGCACAAATAAAGTAAATCCTTTGAGATTGCATTTATTGAGCGTCTTTATTGGATGGACTCTCAGCAACACTAAGGACAGAGTGAAATGGCCATCTAGCGTTTCCAAGGCCGTAGACCTTTCCGGAAGCAGATTGCCCCATCTTTCTCCCAAGCAGCAATTGGTGGTTTCAAGTCCGCTGATCTCTCGACTGGCCCCAGACTCGACAGCAATGCTCTAATGAGTTATCCCTGTAACAGTGACCCACTCACTGCCGTCAAGTCAGGTCTGCATCATAGTGACAACCTTATATAGGCTTTCCAAGCTATATATCTTTAAGAGAACAGATAACCTCATCTTTCTCCCTTGTAGTGGATGATTGGCTTGAACTGCTGACCTTGCTAGTAATCCAATGCTTAATAGCAATGACATACACAGACATTATTGTATTTTTAAGAGGAGCAAAGTAGAGCTCATAAAGTTTAGAGCCACATAGCAAGGGTTTTTGGACCTCGGAGGCCACTTTCTTTCCAATATTCCAATGTCCTTTTGGTGTTTTAAACTGAGAAAGCAACTGCCCAGAAACAGCCAACAACCATTTCGACTGAATTTAAACAGCTTAAGGAGGCATTTTTGCCTGGAACGTGTTTTGTTTATCCGTATGAAGTCATTCCTCTTCTGGGTGGACGGGGCTCACACTCAGAAAAGTTCTCTTTCTTTTCAAATGGAGTCTCAAAGCAGCTGGCAATTACAGTGTCCAACCAAAATCTGTTTTACAAAAAGTAAGGTATTATTCAAAATAAACAATATTACCGTGTTTCTTCTAGTGTGCAATACATATCAAATGCAAAGGTTTCCTGACTCTGATTTGGCAAATAAAATCCTGTTCTTAAGTAGAAGTTAAAGTAAGCTAAACTAGATACTATAAAATCTATAGTCAAAATAACTTTGCTTTCTTTAGAAATGCTACTGATCATTCGATACAAAACTCAAAGCAAGAAAACCCATCTTTCTTATCCCTTACAGTTTTCCCTACTCCACAAGGCTCATTGTCTGACTGCATCCACGTGTGCAAAGTCTGACAGCACCCCTGGCTGGCTTGCCCATTCTCTCCTCTTGAAACTCGCAGAGGAAGCAGGGGAAATAAGTATCTTCAATCCTTTTGAGACAGAATGCAACTACGCTAGGCTTCTCGACAACCATGTCCACTATTCTTTCTTGCCTTTATTCCTCTGTGAGCTCCATAAATGCCCATCGCAGCCATCAGTTTGTTAGTCCCGCTGGAACCTTGAGAGCTTCAGATGCAGCTGTTTCATGCAAAGCACATTCATAATTTTTTACTTCTTTATGAATTTATTTGCCAAATAGAAGGCCTTTATACCCCCAAATTATTGACTCTGCCATTGTTCCCTTTTCCTGATATTTCTTAAAAGTTGAAAATAGAAGAAATGTTCCTGGGAACAGAGTTTCATTTTAAAAAGCTAGAGAGAAAAACTGTTTCGGTTTATTAGCAAAGCCAGTGGAGTGACATGACCGTGTGGCCTTCAAGGAGGAAAGAAGCACACGCGAGGAGCGGCAAGTGAAGGCGTGTGTCAGGCAGTATATGCTCGTCTTATCAGTGACAAGGAGCTGCTTCGCGCACTGAAGACATCGGCCCCTGCCCACGAAGGGTTACAGAACATCATCCAGTGATTTCCTTATTGGCCTAAGGGGAGGAAGGACAAAGCAAATTCTGACTGCACGTATAAAGATGATATGAGTTGATTTGTGTTTATGTTCACTAATAGGATAGTTTGATTCCTGTGTGCCCCCTGTGCCCTGCAATCTGCTTTCAGAGTAAGAACTGAGAATGTCTAACGCTCTGTAGTTGGGATCATAGAAGGCAGAGCTGACTCTCAGGGCTGCGCTCACAATGCTTGTTTCACAGCTAAAGGAAAGACATCCTATCAAGGGCTCCCAAAGATCTAGTGTGGGGTGCTGGCCCGCGACACCCTGTGTGGCCCCTTTTTGTCAACTCCCCATTCAGGAGGCTCGGACAACCAGGGGATCTGCTGACTGCATGAAAAGTCATTTGTGAAGATTTTTCATCTGATTTGGGGAAACGTGAGAGATTTTAAACTACTTCAGCATAATGGGAAGTCAAACCCTACAATCGCGCAAAAGAAGAACTTCATAAATGCCTCCCATCAGTCTGAGTTCATTGGTTGCTCCAGGTTGTGCATTTAGGCATGCGTTCACTAGTCTATCATATTGGAGCATGAGAGTTTACATTTCCATAATGGATGAAAGCAATGCTAAATATTCATTTTTAAAACCTACACACAGAAATTCCCTTCGTGAAATGGATTTTTTAAATGTTTGTAGGTGTAAAGAAATTGTATGCGCCATACTGCAAGAAATGGAAACACATTTAAAATGTTATCAGCTGAACACTATGTTCAGGCTGAGCATATGTATTCCTACAGGGAAACTTAAAATGCAATTTGTTTTTCTTTGTTGACAGGGTGAACAATTGTGTTGGATTTTCAAATTACAAATTTTTCCTCCTCTTTTTGGCATATTCTCTGCTATACTGCCTTTTTATTGCTGCTACGGATTTACAGTATTTTATCAAATTTTGGACAGTAAGTCATTACCTTGTCTTTTTTAGTAAACAAAAATAAAACATGTATATTTTTCAGAAGTGAATTATTCCAGACATTGATTACATAGTAGAGAGCCAATTTTAAAAATACAAGATGTTTTTTCATTCTTTAAAAATAGGGTGTTTCCATTATAAAAATTATGTTAAAGTTTTTCCTCTATCTTATTAGATATAAGTAGGAATGTCTCTAGGCACCTCAATGGCTCTCTGTGCTTATAGATTTTAAATGCGAGCAAGACCAAATTAAAATTTAATGTTTAAATGGCCAAAAATACTCCCTGTGAGCCCCAAAAGATGGTAAAAAAAAAAAAACTGCCTATACCCTGCCTGAGCTGCCTTATTATTTATGTTAGATTATACTTTTTCCGAATTGCTGGATGACTTAAGTGGCATTTAAGTCCAATGACAAAGATTGATTTGCTGGGTGCCAGTTGCATCGTTAAGCATATGTGAATGGACCTGCTTCCAGCCTTCAAGGTTACTTCCAGGTCCAGCTTAAAGAATGCTCCCCGTGAATATCTGAGCAAACACAACCTACTGATCCTCTTTCTGTGGGAGATTTTAGTTCCAAAACACAACTGTATTTGGAAAGTAGTGACCAGAGTTTTCATTGTGCTAAGGTTGCTGTCAAAAGCCTCGAAGAGGCCTTTGTTACCTGTGTCAATCTAACAGGCACCACAGGTTGTTGAAACACTGACCATTCCGAGGGACTCGCCTCTGGCGCTTGGCCAAGTGCTCTCAGGCCAAAGCCTTCTAGCCTAGTGAGTCTGCATCCCCTTGGACACTCAGACAGGAAAAGTTGAACTGGTCTTGCTTTGAGATATCTGGGTGCAGACCATGAACTGGGTAAGGTTTACTTTAGACAGGTGGTCCCCACAAGGGTCGATTTTTTGGATAACACTGATCATTTAGATCGTGTGAAGCGTGATTGTGGCTGTGTTGCTGTTGTGGTCTGGTAGCTGATGTTGTTGTGTGTGGTAATGTAAAAATGTCAATGAGTACAGCGGTTAAAGTGTGCCACTTAATCCTTATGAAATAAGGGTACTTAAAATGTGTGAACCTGTAGCGTATTAACAAAACGTATCCCCAGCAAGGAATTAAAAACTATGTTTGGGAACACCGCAAAAACACTCCGTATTTTATTTTCCATTACTTTTATAATTAACATACATCCTATCATTCCCACCATAATTTTCTGTGTGTATGCTGATTATTCAAAACACAATAGATGTCCCAGAATTTAAAATATTTTCTTTTCAAAAATATCTACCATATATACTTATATTACAATAAACATTTATTTTAATCTGATGATGTGTATATGTGTGTGGATAAATATATAAGGAGGCTTCAAAAAGTTCAAAATGGAATTAAAAAATAAGACTTTTTTCACAAACCTTGTGACATCTCCCTCATTTAGCCACATAGACAAATATGTATCATCAGATTAAAGTGTTTATAAACATCAGATTAAAATAAAAATATATTGTATAAGTACCTATGTGTGTGTATATATATATAATTTTTAACATAAAATCATGAGTCTGTCTCCATATCTAAATGTAAGGAGAAAAAATCTAAGCCCCAAACATTACTAATTAATTTGCCAAAGTAGGGAGAATACTTCTTATCCCTGTGACAAAATATTTGCTTTCTTTCCTTTCTCTGTAGAATGGTCTACCTGATACTCAAGTCAAGTTCCATGTCATCTTTTTATTCTTTGCTGCAGCTATGTTTTCTGTCAGCTTGTCTTCTCTGTTTGCCTATCATTGTTGGCTAGTCAGCAAAAATAAATCTACATTAGGTGAGTATCTCATTTTGTAGTTCCCTGAATTTTAATTACATCATATATAAATATTCACCAAAAGTTGCTATATGATTAAGTACCAGCCTGTCCGGAAGTGGTAAATCTCATACTTAGTCCTCACATTTTTTGGTGAGTTGTGACGTGGTGATACACAAATTCATTCACTCCATATGTGTACTGACTGTCCATTATGTATAAAATATTGTGTATAGGCAGTGGTTAGCAGAGGCAAATCAGTCTAGTGGAAAGCATAGAGAATTAATAACCAAAGAAATTAGTAACCCAAAGTAATTGTGAAATACAAAGTACTTTGAAGGAAGCAAAGAGAATGCTGGAAGATGGAACAATTGGTCTAAGGAATCATGTTCGTAAAATGCAGGGAATAAGTAGACACCCATGGATATCTAAGCTGGGAATAGAAGGGCACTTAAAGATAGTTATGAAAAACCAAAGCTAACATTATACTCAGTGATGGAAGTCTGAAGCGTTCCCACTAAGATCAGGAAGAAGATAAGATACACTTCTATTCCATACAATTCTTAAAGAATAAGCCAGATAAATCTGACATGAGAAAAAGAAGTAAGAAGCTCGTACATTAGAAAGGAGTCGAGTTATCCCTATTCACCGTGACATGGTTTTAAGAAAATCATAGCTACACACGAGCTAGTGAATGAACTCAACAGAGTTGCAGAACACAAGGGCAGTATACGATACCTGCTGCAGTTCAATCTAGTAGGCGTGAACAAAAGGAACTTACGAAAATAATCCTATTTCTAGAAGCATACATTTAACCAGGATTAATTTGATAAGAGTGAGAGACTTGTACATTGGAAATGACAAATATCATTGAATGAATGTAAACAACTCTTGTTGCTTCTGTTAGGTTCATTGGAGTCAAGTACCATTCGTAGCAACCCTGTGTACAAACAAACAAACAACAACACTGCCAATACCCTCACAGCAGTTTCTGAGTCCACTGCTACAGCCACTGTGTCACTGTCCCTGAGGGTCATTCTCATTTTCACTCACCTTCTACTTCTCCAGGGACTGGTCCCCCCATATGTCCAAAGTACCGTATATACTCGAGTATAAGCTGACCTGAATATCAGCAAGGCACCTAATTTTACCACAAAAACTGCATTAAAAATGTGCTGAAAAACTCAGCTTATACACGAGTGTATACGGGAAGTGAGATGATGTCTTGAATTCCCAGAAGCATTTGGGCTAAACTTTTTCCAAGACAGACTTACTCATTCTTCTGGAAGTCATTTGCATATTTAAAATCCTTGCCAAGTCCATAATTCAAAGCCATCGATTCTTCAGTCTTCCTTATTCATTGTCCAGTTTCACATGCATATGATGCAATTAAAAGCATCAGGGATTGGGCCAGGTGTACTTTAATCTTAAAAATGACATCTTTGCTCTATACTATTTTAAAGATTTTTTTCCAGTGGATCTGCCCAATACCATACATTATTTGATTTCCTGACTGCTGCTTTTCTGAGTACTAATTGTGGATCTAAGTAAAATTCATATCTTGACAACTTCAATCTTGTTTCCATTTGTCATGATGTTACTTCCTGGTCCCGTTGTGAAGATTTTTGTTTTCTTAATCTTGAACTGTAACCCATAGTTTTTGATCTCCATCAGTACGTGCTTTACATCCTTTTCATTTTCTACAAGGAAGATTTGTCACCTACATACCATAGGTTGTTAATGAGTCTTCTTCTAATCCTTATGCTGTATTTTCCTGCATTGTTAGGCTTCTTGGATTATTTACTCAGCAAACAGACTGAATATGTGTGGTGCAAAGATACAACTTTGATGCACACCTTTCCTGGTTTTAAATCACCCAGTATCACCATGTTCTCTTTGTATAACTGCCTACTAGTCTACATACAAGTTCCACATGAACACAATTAAGTGTACTAGAATTGCCAATTTTCACAATGTTATCCATAATTTGTTATGATTCACACAATTTAATACCTTTGCACAAACAATAAAACAAAGGAATCATCTTCCTGGATTCTCTGATTTCAACCAACATCCATCTGATATCACTCATTCCACATTCTCTTCTGAAGCCAGCCTGAATTTCTGGCCATTCCCTGTTGATGTATTTCTGCAATAATGTGCTGACAATCATTCAAACGATCGTTAGCAAAATTTTATTTGCATGTGATATCAGTGATATTGTTTGATCGCTTTCCCACATTCTGGACATCACCATACTTTGCAAGGAGCTTGAATATAGATCTTTTCCAGTCAGTTGACCATGTGGCTCTCATCCAAATGTCTCGGCTTAGGAAAGGGAACACCGTCAGTGCTCCACGTGTTTGGATCCAAGGCTCTGTCAGTCCTCCCAATGACTCCACAGCAGGAAGTTGAAGGCAGGGTTGGGGGGAGGGAGAGGAAGTTCCCAGGGCCCTCTTTATGAGAAGTCCATCTTGTCTCCACAAGGAGACACCATCAAGCTGACCTGATTGACAGGTTGAACTCCACCTCTGCATTTTTATATATCTTCAGGTTGCTATGAAATTATGGAACGACTACATCCCTAAATTCAGGTGACATATACTTAAGGTTGCATTTTGGCTCATGTGGACTTGTTTTAATTTTCTTCAGGTTCAACTTGAATGTGCATATTCAAGTCAGTTCCACAATTGGCCCCTGGCTTTGTTATGAATGATGCTATTGAACTTCTCCATAGAAAACATGCAGATAGAATTTAATGATGCCCCATGTTAATAATTTTGAAGACGTCATATTATTAAAATAGCAATACTCTCCAAAGTTATCTATAGATTCAATGTAATCCCTATTAATAGCACAACAAACTTTTTGTAGCAATCTCCACATTCATATGGAACTACAGGGCCCTGAATGGTCAAAAATATAGTGGTGAATGGGGCGGGGGTGGGGATGGACACAAGTTTTGGAGAACTCACAGTTCCAGCTTTCAAAACTTACAACAATGCTACAATGATCAAAATGCTCTGGTATTGGCATAATTATAGACCTATTGGCCAACAAAATTTAATTGAGAGTCTAGAATTCATTCCATATATCGGTGTTCAATTGATTTTTAGGCAAGGGTGCCAAGTTCAGTCAGTGACAAAAGAATAGTCTCCTTAATGATGCTACGACACATTTTATAGATCTTGCAAATCACAATTTTTTTACAATAGTGTCTTGATTCTAGTTAGATTTTTTTTCTTTATAGGAACATATATAAAAATCATACACTTCTATATTTGTATTATAAAAAACAAAGATCTAGATTTCAGATTAAAGCATTATTCATTACAAACATGTAGCATAAAAGAGGGAGTATAGAAATCTGGGGCATGCCTAATCGTGTCATTTATTTACTATGTGGCCCTGATGCAATCCCAAAGCCTTTTTGGACATCAACGTCCCTGTCCGAAGTAGGCAGAGGGCTGCAGTGTAGAGCTGGACTTGATCGTCTGACCAAACCCACTTTTAAGCATACCCTCTACAAACTTTGGATAGATAAGATAAATTCTAACAAAACTAGAAAGCACGGTGTGCTAACTGTAAAAATAAGTTGGAAAACATTTGGATAGTCTCATTTTGGTTAGAAAAACTATGTAGATTTGCATATACCTATATCTGTCAGCCTATATACTTATCAAAAGATCCAATTAAAAAGTTTTAACTAGGGCAATGAATGTACAAATGTGCTTTACACAATTCATGTATATGTGGATTGTGAAGAGTTGTGTGAGCCCCTAATAAAATGATTTTTTTTTTTATGCCTGTGGATAGAGCTGAGAGGACGCTGTCCTGATCAAAGCTCTGTATCCTGAGCCTTCCTGATAATGGATTATGACCTGTTGCTTTCCTAATAAATCTCATAACCATGACGAAAAAGTTTTATCTTTTTTCCTTGTCTGTATTTTCTGATTTTCTACAATGTACATGTGCTGTCATTTTAATAAAAAGGTTACTTCAAAATTAAAACAGAAACAATCTTTTTTTTGGATGATTTTTGAACAAATAACCTATATTGCAAAACTACAGATAGGGCTATAAGTCTTTCTAGGAAGCTAGCCATTGGTTTGGAGAGCATTGCTCATTTAATTCAATTGTTCTTTCCGCCTCTGTCTTCTCTATACTTTTCTAGAGGCATTCAGAAGTCCGGTATTTCGTCATGGAACGGATAAGAATGGATTCAGCTTGGGTTTCAGTAAGAACATGCGTCAAGTTTTTGGTGATGAGAAGAAGTATTGGCTGCTACCCACTTTTTCAAGGTACATCATGAACAAACTAGGAGGTAGACTAAAGAAAGTAATCCATAAGAGATCATTTGTGATCTCTTATTCTGTTGGTCTACAATTGGATAATTGTGAATAGCAACTGCTCTTTTTTTAAAAGCACTAATTGTGATACAATTTTACATCAATGTGAAAAAGCCAGTCAACTCATCATCTCTTTAGATATAAACGTTGTATTGAAGCTCGTGTCTGACTATGACATCAGCATTTGAAAAAGTGTCATTCTACTGTTTCTTTTAGGGTTCAATTACAAGTTGTTGTTTGTATTGCAGCCTCGGCGATGGCTGCGCTTTCCCAACTTGCCTTGTTAACCAGGATCCTGAACAACCATCTACTCCTGCAGGGCTGAATCCAACGGCGAAAAAGTAATCCTAGGCAGTTGCTTTTCCAATTTTTAAATCATGTATTTTATCCTGTGTCCTTTGGTTATACATTCCTTTGTAAAAATCATTTAAAGACTATAAGATAAATTATAATGATTTCCCTCTGGGAGTGAAGGAGGGAGACATGACCTTAAAAATCCAAACCCACTGCCCTATGGTCGATTCCAACTCAGAGCAGTCCCAGAGGACTGAGTCACACTGCTTCTAGGGTTCCCGAGACTGCGTCTTCACAGGAGCAAACAGCTTCATCCTTCTCCTGTGGAGTGCATGGTGACATTGAACTCTAGGCCACGTGGTTAGCAATGCAGCAATGAACCTCCTGCACACCACCAGTAGGCCTTGAAGATCTGATGGAGGGCAGTATATATAAGAAGTTCACAACTATATAAAATTCTGTTGATTTGTCTGGGTGGTGGATGAAAAGAGTTTTATTCTGTATACAGTTAGCTAATTAAATAATGTCTTGATGTTGACAACATAGTAATTAAAAGAAAAATAAATGGAAGTCAAAATGAGCTCCGTCAGTGCTCTGGTGGTCAGGAGAGAAACGTTCCCTCTGCCCTCAGTGGCCTTCCATGACCTGGGACCTCTGAGTGCGTCCCTCGGTCAGGCCTTTGGAGAGCAAACAGAACTGCAGACACTGACCTGATGTGCATCCGAGTAGAACCGTTCTTCCTAAGATTTTGAATGGCTGGTTTTCTAGAAATAGATTCCTAGGCCTTTCTTCTGAGGTGCCTCTGAGACTTGAACCTTCAACCTTGCAGTTACCATCCAAGCATGTTAACTGTTTGCCCCACCCAGGCAGCCTACTATACTCTTGTTGTTGCTATTATTAAGTGCCGTTGAGTTGATTCTAACTCAGCAACCCTATGTACATCACAATAAAAAAAAATCATTGCCAGGTCTTCTACCCCCCTCACAAGCATTGCTGTGTCTGAACCATTGAGTCCCTGAGTCAGTCCACCTGTTTGAGGCTTGTCCTCGTTTATGTTGACTCTCCACCACATAGGATGCCTGTCCCTCGGGACTAAGCCCACCTGATGACATGCCTAAAGTCTTGGAGATGAAGTCTCCTTTCCTCACTTCTAAGGAGCATCTGACTTTATTTCTGAGACAGAGTGTGAGGATTTTGGTTCTACATGTACAGATTCTGCATAAGCCAAATTAAGTGTTCTGGAATTCCCATTCTTCACAGTGTTATGTCTAATTGGTTGTAATCCACACAAAGGCCTCTACACCGTCAATAAAACGTAAGGAATCATCTCTCTGGTGGTCACTGCTTCAGCCAAGATCTAACATCACGATGACCCTCATTTCACATCCTTTTCTGAATCTAGCTTGAATTTCTGGCAGTTTCCTGTTGATATCCCACTGCAACAAGTTTTGGATTATTTTCAGCAGAAGTTTGTGTGTGATATCAAGGATATTTTTTGCTAATTTCTACATTGTGTAAGGCACTCCTCTTTGGAATGGTCACATATGTGGATCTCTTCCATTTTAATTGGTGAGGTCCCTCTGTTCCAAATTTCTTGGCATAGATAATGAGTGCTTCCAGCACTGCATGTTTGTTGAAACATTTTCATTGATATTCTGTCACTTCCTGGAGCCTTGTTTTTCCTCAGTGCCTTCCGTGGAGCTTAGAGTTCTTCCTTTAATACTATCAGTTCTTGGTCATGTTACCTCCTAATATGGTTTGAACACTGGTCAATTCTTTTTGGTACAGTGACTCTGTATTCCTTTTATCTTCGCTGGATATTTACCGCATCATTCAATCTTTTGCACATAGAATTCTTCAATATTGTATTAGAGACTTGGATTTTTTCTTCAGTTTTTTGGACTTGGGAGAGCTAGATTGTGTTGTATCCCGTTGCTTTTCTAACTCTACATCTTTGCACATTTCATGATGGTACATTTTGTCTTCCCTTTGAAATATTCCCTTCCAGGCTTTTACTTCGTCATTTCCCCCAAACACTTTAGCTGCTCCATATCGAAGAACAAGTTTCAGAGTCTCATATTCCTTTTCATTCCTTTCCTGTTTTTTTAATAACCTTTTGCTTTTCTTCATATATGACTTTGATGTCATCCCACAACTTATTTGGTCATTAAGTAAGTTTTTATTGTTCAATTATTATTATTCACTCTGTCAAATCTATTTTTCAGTGGGTCTCTAAATTCAAGTAGAATATACTCAAGGTCATATTTTGGCTCTTATAAGCTTAATTTTTTTTTCTTCAGCTTCCTTCAACTTGAAATTGCCTATGAGCAAATGACGGTCTGTTCTAAAGTCAACATTTGGCCTTGTGCTAAATGATGGTATTGAGTTGTTCTGTGGCCTTTTTATACAGATTAGTCTATCTGATTTGTATGAATATTATTTGGTGAGGTCCACAGTATTTGTTGCTTAAAGAAGTTATTTGGTCTTGCAAAATTCTTTCATGTCATTTCAAACATCTTTTCTGCCACGAAGACTGTATTTTCCAACTGCTTATCCTTCTTTGTTCCCAACTTTCCAATTCCAATCACCAGGCATTGCCCATACACCTTGATGGCATGCTCGCTCCATTTCAAACTGCAGAAGTTGGTGACTCCGCTCCTTTGTTGACTTTTGGCGTCAGTGACCGGTGGCCATTCGAATAGTCCTATGAACTGCTCTCCCTCTCCCTCGTCTACACAAGGAGGTGCCCTCTCAGTGGCAGCATTGCACTTCAGGAGAGATCTTGAAATGTTCTCTTTGACAGTGAACGTGATGCCGTTCCTATTCCGTCTTCAGTGCAGTCTTGTCTTCCCTAGCCACCCTTTGCCATCTTCCCTTCAAATCTTTAGCGTCATCATTTCTTCCAGATGCCCTAGCTGCCTGGAGCATGTGATTGTCTGGTTCAAAATGTCCTAGATCAGTCTATGTTAGTGCACGATTGTCTAGGACATTTATCTTTATGCATCCCACTTTATTTTTGAAAACTTCCAATATTTCTAGATTCATACTTCATACATCATCCCTCATTCTGACTTCTAACGAAGGCTTACAGCTGTTTCTTTTCATCTTGTTCCACGGTGGCAAATGAAGGCCTCGTCTGCTTTAAGGCCAACTCTGCTTTGAGAAGTCAGCTCTTTCCCAGTTGTGATTTGAGTGCCTTCCACCCTGACAGGCTCTATTCATAAGGTTTTCCCTGGCCCATTTTTAAAAATCATTTTATTAGGGGCTCATACGACTCTTATCACAATCCATACATACATCAATCGTGTAAAGCACATTTGTACATTCACTGCCCTCATCATTCTCAAAACATTTGCTCTCCACTTAAGCCCCTGGCCTCAGCTCCTCATTTTTCCCTCTCCCTCCCCACCCCCTTCCCTCATGAACCCTTGATAATTTATAAATTATAAATAATTTATAAAATATTATAAATTATTATTTACACTGTCCAATGTCTCCCTTCACCCACTTTTATGTTGTCTGTTCCCCAGGGAGGAGGTTATATATAGATCCTTGTAATTGGTTCCCCCTTTCCACCCCACCTTCCCTCCACCCTCCCGGTATCACCACTCTCACCACTGGTCCTGAAGGGATCATCCGCCCTGATTCCCTGTGTTTCCAGTTGCTATCTGTACCAGTGTACATCCTCTGGTCTAGCCAGATTTGTAAGGTAGAATTGGGATCATGATAGTGGGGGAGGAGGAAGCATGTAGGAACTAGAGGAAAGTTGTATGTTTCATTGTTGCTACACTGCACCCTGACTGGCTCGTCTCCTCCCTGAGACCCTACTGTAAGAGGATGTCCAGTTGCCTACAGATGGGCTTTGGGTCTCCACCCCGCACTCCCCATCATTCACAATGATATGATTTTTTGTTCTTTGATGCCTGGTACCTGATCCCTTCGACACCTCGTGATGGCACAGGCTGGTGTGCTTCTTCCATGTGGGCTTTGTTGCTTCTGAGCTAGATGGCCGCTTGTTTAACCTCAAGCCTTTAAGACCCCAGATGCTATATCTTTTGATAGCCGGGCACCATCAGCTTTCTTCACCACATTTGCTTATGGACTCGCTTTGTCTTCAGCAATTGTGTCGAGAAGGTGAGCATCACGGAATGCACTGGCCCATCTTTTTAAGTAGTGTATCACCAGGCTCTTCTTGTAAGTCTGTCTTAGTCTGGACACTCCACTGAACCCCGTCTTCCTTGGCTGACCCTGCTGGTATTAAAAAGCACTGATGGTATAGCTTCCAGGATCAGAACAGCATGCAAGCCACCACAGTGTGACAAAAAAATGACAGGTAGGCAGGTGGTGGCTGTTCTCACCACCAAATTCTTAGTGCTTTGGGGGATGACCTTGAAACATTATCTGAACCATTTATGTGCCAAGGTGAAAAGCAGTCTTGGAGACTCATTTTTAGGAGGACTTTGCTCAGCTTTAAGTTTGTTTTTGATCCGATCTATTAAGAGTCATCTGGGGCCTTGCTCTTGACATCCTGACTGACTGGTTCTTAGTGTCTTCAGTGTTGTGGTGAGAAGATGCGCCATCTGAACCAGAAGAGATGGGAATCTGAGCTCTGAGCCAAGAATCTGATAAGCCTTGAAGCTCAGAAGAAAAGAGTCTCCAGGTGCCCCACGGAGCCCAGGTGCTGGTGAACTAAAAGTCCCCCGAATTCTTCAGCCAAGACACATCGGAGTTCATCTGTGCAAGCCCTGAACAGTAGTATCTGAATGGAGCTCCTCGATCTCTTCAAGTTCAAGATCTCATTGGATAGTTAACTTTCATACACCGGAGGACCTGACGATCTTAGTCCACTGCAGGCTAGGGAGAACTATGACTTCACAGCTGAGTATCAGATTTGTGTGCGCCCTCTTTGGGAGTTCTCCAGTAGTCAGTGAGTTCTCCAGTAGTCAAGGAAACGAACCCGTTTTCTTTTTATGGTCTGTACTACAGATTTTTAAAAAATAAAATCCAAGTATAAAAGAATTTTTATCGATAGGAGAAAACCCTGAAT